AGATAAAAAGCTCACTGGATGGGCTTACCAGTATATTAGAGGTAACAAATAAATTAGTGAACTGGATAATAGAACAATAGAAATTAGTTGACTTGAACAATAGAGAGAAAATTTACTGGGAAAAAAATGAACAGAGCCTCAAAAATTGTGAGACTGGAACAAATGATCTAATATTTGTTTTATTGGAGTTTGGAAGGAGGGCAAGGCTGAAAAGCACTTGAAGACATAATGGCTGAAAACTTCCCAAATTTTACAGGAGACAAATCTACAGAATTAAAAAAGCTGAGAAAATCTCAAACTGATAAACCCAAGAAATCCATGCCAGAACACATTGTAATTAAACTTCTGAAGAGGGAAGATGGAAAAAACATCTTGAAAGCAGCCAGAAAAAAAATAACATGTTACTTACAGGGGAGAAACAATTAGAATTCCAATGGCTTTCTCATCAGAATCTATGGAGGTTAGATGGAAGTAGCACAATGATTTTCAAGTTCTTAAAAAAAAAAGAACTATAAACCCTAAATTCTGTATCAAGTGAAAATATCCTTCAGGAATGAAAGGGGAAATCAGGACATTCTAAGAGAAAGGACAACTTAAGAGAATTTCTCTTCAGCAGACTTACCCTAAAAGAATGACTAAAGGCAGTTCTCTAAACAAAATGAAGCAATATAAAAGGAAACTTAAAGTTAACATAACAGGCCTGTAACTGCTATTTTTAGAAAGTTCTGCTTACAAGATTATCCCTTGGCTGGCATCTGGGATCCTCTATTTCAGGAGGGATCCCATCATTTCCAGAACTGATAAGAATAGTTCACTGTGCCTAAACTGTGTAAACAATGTGGTTTATGCTGAACACTTGCTTGCTTTCTGGACTCTGGAATTTTGGTATGCGCTAGGCAGAGGGTACCTGTATGACCAGCCCCCATGAGAGATTTTGGACACTGAGTCTCTAATGAGCTTCTCTGGCAGACAACATTTAACAGATGTTGTCACAAGTCATTGCTGAAGGAATTAAGTGGGTCATCATGTGTGATTCCACTGGAAAGAATTCTTAGAAGCTTGTGCCTGGTTTCCTCTAAACTGTCTCCTGTATCATTTTCCCTTTGCTGATTTTGCTTTACATGCTTTCACTATAACAGTCATAGCTATTTGTATAACTATATGGTGAGGCTTATGAGTCCTAGTGAATTATCAAACCTGGGGGTGGTCTTGGGGACCCTTGACACAATTGTGAAGAAAAGAAGAATATGGTAAGGAAATGTATGGGTAAATACAGTAGGCATTCATAGTCCACATGGTTTTTATAAACTATTTTTGATGGCTGAAGCAAAAATTAGTCCTCTGATGTGGTTTTAAAGGTATATAGAGGAAATATTTAAGAAAATTACATTTTAAATAGGAAGGGGATATAATAGGTGGTAAGGTTTTGTATAATTATTCAAACAGGTAAAACATCACCACCAGTAGATTGTGATAAGCAATACATATGTAACGCAGCACTTAGAGTAACCACCAAAACAGCCATCCAATGAGATACACTAGAAAACACTGTAGATAAATCAAGATAGAATTCTGAAAAAGTTCATGTAATCCACAAGAAGTCAGTAACAAGAAAACAGAAGCAAAAGATGAGAGAACAAATAAAATTTAGATGGTGGGATTAAGCCCTAACGTTAATAATTACATTAAATTTAAATGGTCTAAATACAGCAATTAAAAGAGAGAGACTGGCACAGTGGATTTTTAAAAAACTTGGCCCAGCTCTGTGCTTTCTGTAAGAAAGTCACTTCAAATATTACAATGTAGGCAGGTTAAAAGTAAAAGAATAAAACAGATAAATCATGCAAACATTAATCAAAGGAAAGCAAGAGTGACTCTATTAATATCAGGTAAGGTAGACTACAAAGCAAAGAAAATTACCAGAGACACAGAGGGATATTATGTAATGATAAAAGGGGGTCAGTTCATCAAGAAGACATAGTAATCCTAACTTGTGTGCATCAAATGACAGAGTTCAAAATTATATGAAGGGAAAAATCAAAGGAGAAATAGACAAATTTACAGTTAGTTGGAGACTTCAAGACCCTTCTCTCCATGACTGATAGAAGAAATAGATGAAAAATCAGTAAGGACTCATTTACACCATGAACCATTTACACCAAATAAACATTTATAAAACATTCCACCCAGCAATAGCAGAATACATAGTTTTTCAAGTGCCTATGTAAACATATACTAAAATTGAAATATCCTGGACCATAAAATAACATAAAACATAAAAATTTGTTTAGCCTAACAAATTTTTAAAAATTGAAATCATGCAGATTTTTTCTCTAATCACAATGGAATCAAACTTGATGTCAGTAACAGAAAGATAGCAGGAAAATCTCTAGACACTTGGAAAGTAAACACACATAAATAATCTATGGGTCATAAAGGAAGTCTCAAGGCAATAAAACCATGCATGAAAATGAATGAAAATTTAAATATGATATATAAAAGTAGGTGTGATGGAGCTAAAGCAGTGCTGAGAGGGAAACTTGTAGCACTATAATGTATACATTAGAAAAGAGGAAGTCTCAAGTCAGTAATCAATGCTTCCACCTCAAGAATCTAGAAAAATAAGAGCAAAATAAACTCTAAGGAAACAGAAGGAAATAATACTGATAAAGGCAGAAATCAATGAGATTGAAAAACAGAAAGAACAGAGAAAAGCAAATAGAGCTGCTTCTTCGAATACATCAATAAAATTCACAAATCTCTAGTAAGACTAAGAAAAAGAGTAGGCACAAATTACCAGTATCAGAAATGAAACAAATTATATTACTAAATACTTCTGCAGCCATCAAAAGGATAATACCAGAGCATTATGAACAACTTTATATCTGTAAATTCAACAACTTATATATGAAGTGGACTGATTCCTTGAAATACACACACTATCATAATTCACTCAATATGAAATAGATGATTTGGGTAGGCCTATAACTATTAAGGAAGTCCAATTTGTAATTTAAAAACTTTCACAGAAGAAATCTGTAGGCTCATGTGATTTTACTGTGGAATTCTGCCAAATGTTTAAAGAAGACTTAAGACCAACGAATGCCATGCAATTTCTTCTAGAATGCAGAAGAGGAGAGAACACTTTCCAATTCACTTTATGGAGCAGGTACTACCCTGATACCAAAACTAGACAAGGACAATACAAAAGAAAGCTACAGATTAACATCCCTCATAAACATACACATGAAAATCCTTAACGAAATATTAGCAAATCTTTCCACAATGTATAGAAATAATTATATGCCATTACAAAGTAGGGTTTACTCCAGGGATGCAAGGCTGGTTTCATATTTGAAAATCAGTCAGTGTAATCCACCATATTAATAGGCTAAAGATGAAAAAGTCAGAAGTTTATGTAGTAAAAGCATTCGACAGAATTCAACGACCATTTGTGAACAAAACAAAACAAACTCTCAGAACAATATGGAATGGGAGGGAACCTCCTCTACAAAAAACATTACAGGTAACATTACTCCTCTGAAGCTAACATTATTCTTTTTTTTCTTTTATTGTGGTAATATATTTAACAAATAAATTTTACTATTTTTACTATTTTTAAATGTACAATTCAGTAGCCGTAAGTACATTCAAATGTACAACCATCACCATTATCCATTTCTAGAACTCTTTCATTATCCCAGATAGAAACTGTGTATCCATTAAACAATAACTTCACAGTCCCCAATCCACCCAGCCCCTGGTAACCTCTATTTTACTTTCTATGAATTTGCCTATTCTAGGTACCTCATATAAGTGAAATCATACAGTATTTGTCCTTTTGTGACTGGCTTATTTCACTTGGCATAATATTTTCAAGGCTCATCTTTTGAAACGTGTATCTGAGTTTTCTTCCTTTTTAAGGCTGAAAAATATTCCCTTGTATGTATATCCACATTTTCTTTTTCCATTTATCACTTGATGGACATTTAGGTTTCCACCTTTGAGCTATTGTGAACAATACTGTATAAGTATCTGTTTGAGTCCCTGCTTTCAGTTCTTCAGGGTGTATAGCTAGGAGTGGAATTGCTGGGTCATATAATAATGGTGTATTTAACTTTTTGAGGAACCTGCTGAACTGTTTTTCATAGAAACTGCACACATTTTACATTTGCATCAACAATGTGCAAGGTTCTAATTTTTCAACACCCTGCAAAAACTTGTTTTTCATTTTTTTGGTAATATCTATTCTAATGTTTGTGGAACACTATTCTTAACAGTGAAAGACTGAATGCTTTCCTTCTAAGATGGGGAACAAGCCAAGGATGTCTGCTCCACTACTCTTGTTCAACATAGTGCTAGAAGTTCTAGCCAGAGCAATAAGGCAAGAAAAGGAAATAAAAGGTATATAGATCATTAACAAAGAAATAAAACTGTCTCTGTTTGCAGAGGACATGATTGTCTATGTAGAAAACTGAAAGAACCTAGGGGGAGAAACTCCTAGAGCTAATAAGTAAGTTCAGCCAGGCTGCAGGATACAAGATAAGTGTACAAACAATTTTGTGATATATCATAGCAATAAACATATGGTCACTGAAATTAAATACAATACCATTAAAATCACTAAAAAAAAGCTGAAGAAATTCTTAGGTGTAAATCTAATGAAACATTTGTAGCATGTTTATGCTGAAAACCACAAAATGCTGATGAAAGAAATCATAGAATATGCAAATAAATGGAGAGACACGGTGTTCATCATAGACACGTAGATCAATAGAACAGAATAGAAAAACCAGACATAGACTCAGCATCAATGTATGGAGGGGATTAATAGTCTTGAACACATGGAACCGGGTTCAGGTTAAAAACAGGATCTATAAATCTCACCTGCATGTCCTAGGAAGCCTTCTGGCTGCCTCAGCCTTGGTTAGTTGCTTAAGTTAAATTGATTAGTGGGCAAGGCTGGCTCTTAAATGAGCAGGTATGTGTTTGTGTTACAGGCATTAATGGCCTTCCAGGATGTGGCTGTGGCCTTTACCCAAAAGGAGTGGAAGCTATTGAGTCCTGCTCAGAGGACCTTGTACAGAGAAGTGATGCTGGAGAACTATAGCCACCTGGTCTCACTAGGTAAGGCTGGCCTGTTTTAGGTCTCACACTCTACTTGTGGGCATCTTAAGCTTTTATGTAGCAGCCTCCATGCTTCTGACTCAGAAAGAAAAACATTTTTTTCCCTATCCCCCCAGAGAATGTCTGGATTTTGTAGTGAAGTTTTATGTGTGTTTGTGTGTGTGTGGTATCTGACACTGCATTCCCAGGCCTCTTTTCCCAGACTGGGCCTCTCCTCTAAGATTATCTTGCTTCAAATGGGGGAATATTTTTTATTCACTCAAGTGCTGGGTAGAATCGTTATCCTGCCTTCAGATCCAGGATCCTCTTCCCTTATTCTTCCTTTCTCAGCATTCAGTAATTCTTTACTCCTCAGTTATGCGTCCCTACCACTTTCCAGGTTTATTGCATTCCCTGGGTTGGCCCTGAGTTCTGTGACAGCCTCTTAAGCCACTAACCCAAGGTCACCTTAGTTTTTTTCCCATGTGAGTAGGAATTGCTTTTTCCAAACCAAAACTCATCACACATCTGGAGCAAGGGGAGGAGCCCTGGAGAGAGGAAAACGCATGTCTTCTGGACCTTTGTCCAGGTGAGTGGGAAGGCCTGGGGAGACGGAGATGCTGGGCAGTTAGGGGCTCAGCAAGTGAGGAAGGAGGGCCAACTGTGAGGTGCTGGGAGGAAGCTCTGCTCCAGGCCTCACGGGCCACTGGTGAAGACTACACGCACCGACTCCCTTCCACATCGTCATGCTCCTCAAGAGAGGGCTTCCCTGGCGTCCCGCCTCCTTCCTCCACCAGACAGCCTCACTCCTCTCACTTGGCTTCCCTTCTCGGGCACATTTAGGATTTCCTGACGTTCTTGGGCTCTTGTGGTCGGCCTGATCTTCAAAATAGCACCTTTCCTTTGAGACTAAGTCTGCTGCCCTGCTAAATACTTTGCTATTTCTGTTCTTAACCTGGCAACATTTGGGGGCATCAGTTCTATCCCATGGATTCTCATAACTTTGTTTCTTTTATGATGGCTTATTTAATATTACAGCAAGGTATGAAGAATTGTACAGTGAGTAGCAATGTGGCAGCGCCACAGCCTAAGAGATAGCATGTTTTAAAACTAGGTGACAGCCCTGTACCTTCCCTGATTGTGTCTGGCTCCCCTACCTCGGGTTTCTGAGTTAATATTCCATGACTACCTTTATCTTTTTATTCCATCCCATGGGTCCTTCAATCATATAAAGCATTGTTCTGCATGTTTGTAAACTTCTCTGTACATAGTATTTTTAACTTGTTCCTAATTTTTGGCTATTAAATAATATTGCTCTGTATTCTTGTATACCTCCTTGAGAACATGTGCAAGAGTTTCTCTTAAGATATATACCTAGGAGCGTAGAAGCTGGTTCATAGGCGTGCATAGCCTCACCTTGACTAGGTCATGCCAAATCATGTTCTGAAGCAGTTATGCCAGTTTATGGTACCAGCAGCAGTATGAGAGTTCTTCATCCACATTGTCACCAACACTTGGTATTGTCAGATGTCATTCTTTGCCCATTGGTTTGGTATGAGGTGAAATCTCAGAGGGGTTTTAAGTTGCTTACCAGTAAGCATGAGCATCTTTTCATATGTTGCTCAGTCACTGGTGTTTCCTCTTCTGTGATTTGATTGTTCAAGGTGTTTATCTACTTTTTAGTTGGGCTTTTTCTTTTTTGTTAGTGATTTGTAGAAATTCCATATTAATTCTGGAAACATTCAGGTCTTTAATCCAATTAAAATTAATTAGAATTAATTAGAATTAATTTTATATAAATGTTGGGAGGTAAGGATACAGTTTTGCCTAATTTATCTTTTTTCATTCATTTATTTTCAATCTTCTTGGCATTGATTTTTGTTTTGTTATTTTTTTGCTTCTAAATATATAACCATATAGCTAGTGTTGCACTTTCAGCAAACTGAGTGCTTTTGTCTAATTTAAAAAGAACTTTATTATATAAGGCATAATTAAGATATAATATAAGAATGTGTTACTAAGGTACAAGATATTATTAAGGTATAATAATTAAGGGATAAGATTTGTTTTTAAGGTATAATAAACTGCACACTTTTAAAAAGTGAGATTTGGTAAGTTTTCACATCTGTTTGCACACATGAAACCATTGTCATAACCAAAATAGCAAGCATATCTGTCATCCCCCAAAGTTTCCTTGTGCCTCACTGTAATCCCTACCTCCCACCCCTCTCCCTACCCTCCTCTCCTCCCCCATACCCAGGCAACCAGGGATCTGCTTTCTATGACTATAGATTTACATTTTTCTAGAATTTATATAAATAGACTTAAACAGGATATACTTGGATTCTTCACTCAGCATAATTATTTTGAATTTTATCCATAATGTATATATCAATAGGGGATTTATTTTTATTGCTAAGTACTGTTCCTTTATATGGTAGTGTTCCTTAAACAATTATTTAACCATTGACCTATTGAAAGACATTTAGGGTATTTTCAGTTTTTGACAAATACAAATAAAGTTGTTTTGAACATACAAGTTTTTGTGTGGATGTATGCTTTTTTTTCTTTTGGATAAATACCTGGAACTGGAATGTCTGAGTTGTATAACACAGTGTATATATAACTTTTTTAGAAACTCACAAACTGTTTTCCAAAGTGGCTGCATCACTTCACATTCCCACCAACAGTATATGAGAGTTTCAAGAACACCTTATCTTTGTCAACACTTGGCTTCATTATTATTTTAATTTTAGACATTCTCATAACTGTGTAGTGGCATCTTTCTTTGGTTTTAATTGACATTTTTGTAATGACTGATGATGTTGAGTATCTTTTCATGTGCTTATTTGCCATCTTATATCTTCTTTAGTGAAATGTCTTTTCCTATCTTTTGCTAATTTTTAAAATTGGTTATTTTTTTTTAAATTTTTATGATTATCCTTTTTTTTTTTTTTTTTTTTTCTGACTGGGACAGGCATCGAACCCTGGACCCTGGGGTTATTACCACCATGCCCTATGGTTTCTTTTTTTTTTTTTTTTTTTGCTGACTGGTACAGGCATCGAACCCTGGACCCTGGTGTTATTACCACCATGCCCTATGGTTTCTTTTTTTTTTCATTATTGAGTTTTGAGAGTTCTTCATGTATTTTACACAGAAGACCATTATCCGATATGAGATTTACAGATATTTTCTCTGTGGCTTACTTTTCATTCTCTTAATAGTGCCTTTCAAAAAGAAATTCTTAATTTTGGTGAAGTTCAATTTTCATTTTTTTTTTTCTTATGAATTGCACTTTTGGTGGTGTATTTAAGAAATTTTAGTCTATACTAAGATCAAAAATATTTTCACATTTTTTTTCTTTCAGAAATTTTACAATTTTTTATTTTACGTTTAGGTCTCTAACCTTTTTGAGTAAATTTTTATACTTGATAAATGGTCTGTATTTAAGTACTTTTTTTGCATACAAAAATACCATTTTTTGAGCACGATTTATTGAAAAGGCTACTCTCTCTTTACTGAATTGCCTAAGTACCTTCGTGGAAAGTCAATTGACGGTGTGTGTGGGTCTATATCTGGACTCTATTTTTTATTTCACTCTTCTCTATGTCTCTCTTGATGCCAATATCACATAGTTTTGATTAGTAAAGTTTTATAATAGGTTTTTAACTCAGATAGTATAAATCTTCCAACTTTGCTTTTTTTCCCCCAAGTCATTTTAGTTATTCTTTGCATTTCCATATGGATTTTAGAATCAGCTTGGCAATTTTTTACAAAAAAACTGCTGGGATTTTGATTGGGATAGAGTTGAATCAATATCAATTTGTGGAGAACTTACATGTAAATAATGTCTTCCAATACATGAACACAGTATAACTCTCCATTTACATAAGTCATCTTTAATTTTTGTCAGAAAAAAAAAAATTTTTGTCAGCATTGTTTTATAGTTTTTAGTACATAGATTTTGGACATCTCTTGTTAGATTTATCCCTAAGTATTTTATATTTTTGATGCTATTTAAGTGCTGTTGTAAAATTTCAAATGTTTGTTGATGGTACATAGAAATACAATTTATGTATAGTGATTTTGTACCCTGTTATAAAACTCACCTTTCAGTTTTAGTAGCTTTAGTTTTACTTCTTTCTATTTAATGTGTCTTTAATTTTTTTTTCTTGCCTTATTGCACAGGTGAAAGCATCCAATTCAATGTTAAGTTTTAATGGTGACAGTGGACATCCTTTCCTTGTTCTTAATCTTATGGCAAATGCTTTCCTTCTAGGTGTGACTTAAGTTTTTTTTTTTTTTTCCTTTTTTGTCTTTTTTTACTGACCGGTAACGGGATTGCAACCCTCGGTGTCGCGCCCGTACCGGGGACCGGCAACGGGATCACAACCCTCAGTGCCGCGCCTGCACCACGCTCAGCCAGTGAGCGGGAACCGGTCTCCACATGGGATCCGAACCCTCCGCGGGAGCGCCGCCGCACTCCCAAGCAGCGCACTGTAGCAGTGCGCCACTGGGCTGGCCCTGACTTAAGTTTTTTATAGCTGTCCTTTACCAGTTTGACAGAGTTTTCTTTTTTCTTTTTCTTTTTTTTTTTTTTTTCCTTTTTTTTTTTTTTTTTTT